TATGTATGTATTGTATGCTATGTTGTATGTATGTAGTTGTATGTTTAATGTATGATATTATGTAGTATGTATGTAGTATGTATTTGTGATGTATATTGTATGTATGTCTATTGTGTATGTTATGTATGTATGATGTATGTATGTCATGTATGTATGTATTTGTATGTATGTGTATGTATGTATGTATGTATGTATGTTTATGTATGTATGTATGTATGTATGTTATGTTTATGTATGTATGCTCATGTACTGTATGTATGTATGTATGTATGTATGTATGGTATGTATGTAGTTGTAGTTATGTATGATGTATGTATGTATCGTTATGATATGTATGTATGTATGTAATGTATGTATGTATGTATGTATGTATGCTATGTATGTATGTATGTAATGTAGATGTATGTGTATGTATGTATGTATGTATGTATGTATGTATGTGTGCGTATGTATGTATTTATTTATTTATTTATCTATTCATCTATCCATCCATCCATCCATCCATCAATCCATCTCTTTGGCTCTTTATCTCCGTTACAGCCTGCCTCTCCCCTTCTTTACCTTTCCCCATTATATACGGCCGTACTCACTCTTTCTCGCTCTCGCTCTTTCCTCGTACCCCTATTACCTTCTTCCCTTTCTTCCGTCCTCTTGTAGATTTTATGCGAAATTAGGCACTAGGTAGATATATAGTGACGAAAGAATAGTGTTCAGTTGCAGCCGATTCTATAACCAATGTGATCATTCATCAGTAGGGTGTAGACAGTCTCTTACCTGTATATGGCTGCAAGTGTTTGTGCATTCCCACAGTCACTCATGTAGGTAGCCTGAATATTATAGCATTTGTTTGCCGCCTATACCAGACCGAGGACTAGCCGATTATTTGCCCTGCAGATAAACGACGCAAACCACGCATAGAAGGTTAATCATCAACTGCGCTGACCTCCTTGTCATCTCAGTGTGTGAAACCTCCATCAGATGGCGCCGTCGTCTTTCACCGTGCTGGGCAGACGATTCACTCCATTCGCTGCTGGGCAACGCGCCATAGCCTTGTCGTGCGTTAGCTTAGACTTGAGTGAAGTTAATGATTTTCCCGCCCAAGAATTCGTGGAGGAAAATCTTGAAACGACTGTGATACGAAGTTGGGTAAATAAGCTTAAAAGCAAGCCAGTGCTGTTCATCAATGTTGTTGCCATTCGTATATCAAACAGGTGGCAGCAGCGTGCCTCGTTTAACTGGAGAAGTCATTTAAATAATACTGTTATATCTATACTAGTACGGATACTAGTTCTAGTAATTATCTGTACTAGTACAGACACTAGTACTAGTGTGAGTGTACTATTACAAGTATATATCTGTAAGCGGGACTACAATCGGTAAGGGTCGAGGCGCGGACCGTGTGCACCTGACCAGTCTCTCCCGCGGAGAGGCAATGTGAACTGGCGGTCACGCGGGCGGCGGGGGAGGAAGGAGGAGGGAGGAGAGGAGGAGGGAGGAGAGAAGGAGGAGGAGGGAAGGAGGAGGGTAGTGTCGGCATGAGTCGCGCGCGCGCGCATTCACGTGCGTGCGTGTCGCCCGGCATGTCAGTTAGCCGGTCCGGTCCGCTGGAGTGTGATTAAGCCGCGATTGTGGCTAGCAGGCAGGCAGCGGCACTCATTGCGATTGAATGGAATCGGTTCGACTCGGTGTTGATACAACGAGGCGACGGACGCCGTCGCCGCTGCCGCCGCGCGTTGCCACGGACAACGCGCGCGCGACACGTTGCCGTGGCAACGCGCACGGTGTTTACGCGCGGCGGACTGGGTGACGGGCGGCGGAGAATCAAGGCGCCTAGGACTGATGCACGAGGATGCACGCGATGTCTTCACAAATGAATGCAAGAGGGTTGCCCGCAGTAGCAGAAACGTCCGCCCGCTCTTAGAGCGAGTATTGATTGCGGTTGAGATTTGCCCATGCGATGTGCTGCGTCTATGCACAGGAAACCAGGCTGTTGTATCTCAGCGCGCAGAGCGCAGAGACACCTGGTGTCCCCCTGTGCACTGACAGCAGGCGAACATTATGGGAAGGGTGACCGGTTTGTACACATATAGTAGAAACACGCGATGCGATCAAGCAGAAAATGGCGGAAGTACCTGCAAGGTGTTACACAGTACAGAGATAAGGGGCGAGGCGATGATCATGTCCGTCGCGCGGGGAATGACAGGCTCGTCGAGCAATCTGTCCACGCCTCGTGTAACGTTCTTTCTACTCCTGCGTCGCTTGGCGTTTCAAGCTTCGAATTGCGCAAGGCGCATTTTTCGGCGATGTCAACCCAAATTCGATTCCCAATTGACTCGTTGACAACACGACAACACCAGGCAGACCGACTGTTTGCCCGCCGCGTGCGCTCGGATGTCCCGCGAGAGAGGATGGCGAAGAAGATTGAAGAGATAGTGTTTCATGCGTGAATCGGTATTAAATTGATGGCATATCTACGTCGAATTGCGCGATGTGATGAAAAAATAATTGCGTAATGGGCTCGTGAGTTTTCTCCGGATCGCGTGGCTAGATGACTTACTTTATTGTGAACATGAGAGCGATGGATCGTTACTTAATGCAGATACGGGGTAGAGCCGTGTAGCTTTCAATGTCCGGCGTTTTTAACGACTACAAATGTGTGAGATGCTATCAGTGAAAAATGCCGCTCCCCGGTAACGTATATGGTAATTTTCTAGCGGATTGAGCACAGTGAAGCCCATATAAACAATAGATTGGACGATGAGTTAATGTTAGTCGCGAATAAGAACGTGTAAAAATGCATAGCCTGTCTATACTGCATCCCAAAGAGAGTCGAAAAATCGGATGCCGCCGGTTTTTAATAATGGCGTTTCCTTTCCGACAAGCACGGAGTTTAGATTTTGGGCATCGCAAGTAGAGGAAGAGGTTAGCAACTATCGTAGTTCTTGCAAAGTGCTAAAGGCTACGCATGTGCACACCGGGTTATTGATGATGACATTAAACGTCATAGTTTCGTCATGGGCGAGCAAATACAAAACGTCGTTCACTTCATGCCATACGTGCCGATACGTTCTAGTCAAACTGCTTTGATTAAATGTAATCCGACTAATGTGTTCCTGCCATATATATATATAGGCAAGTAGAAATGCACACATTATAGATTTATGCATTTGGATTTGCTATACGTTATGTTTCGTGGGAAGGAAAGGGGGCATATTGAAAGCAAGGATTTCTTAATAATTGCACAGTCGATAGCAACTATAGCGAAATCTAGTTTCAACAAGTTACTGATTACCCTAGTATAAAAATTGACATGAGTTTTTTGGCGTTACGATATATAAAATAACGAATAATGCAGCTATATTCTTTCGTATAATGACAGTTCCCTTGATATTGGCAACCATCAGACAAAAGTGCATCTCGTTGAGTGACATAGTGGATTTAGACTGATACAACGTCTTTAGTGCGTTATTCAAGTTACCGTGTGAAAGTATAGCGATAGGATCTCGCGAGAAACAAGTGGCTTCATCATGTCAACACAATGTAAAAAAAACAGATTTCAATCGTTACATATTGTGAAAATAATGATGTACAAGTGTTCTAAAATATGTCACGCAAGCAATACCAGTAATTATTGAAATGGTCGGAAAAATACGAGAACGTTCATTAAGACTGTTTGAAGTCATTACTTTAAGGCATGTGTGTACATGCGCTAGAAGGAATGGTACAGGATATCTCTATTACATACACATTCCTGAGAAAGATATGGGAAATTTAAGTTGCACAACCTCAATCTTGGGGATGTGTAACAGATTTTATTTGTGCACACGTAGCCATTGATATCAAAATTATATTCTCGTATATACATGTCATCATGTTCATAACCGTGACTTCACGGTGTCAATAACATTTCAACGTAATCTACTGAAGTGAGAGTTGCAGCCATAAAATTCGAAACTGTGTTTGGCCGTGATTTTGATAGCTTTAACGCACGAGATATTGTATATCAAACTAGCTATTCAGCAGTGTTCATATCCTCTGCTTACACGTTTCCTTCAGTAAGTTCGTGTACATGCAACGTGTTGTATAATACCAACTGTATCATAACCGCTAATATCGCTTTATAGTGCCAATATATGGTTAATCATCGAGCGGGGTAGCTATATAATGTTCGTGGGGGAGAGGGTAAGATTGTATATATATACACTGTGCGATGGCTGTTCCTAATGACATCGCATGCAGCCGCATGAAATACGAGCGTTTATGACAGGTTCGTCACTGATGTCACACACCGGCAATGGCGACCACCTGTAACAGACATGTCACGTTTTCTTTGACTGATTATTTATCAGAGCAGGTGGTGGCTATGGGCCGCTCTGCAGTTGCTCTAATTGTCCTATCTCGATTAATTGACTGTTTTAAAGACAGAAAAATATAAATGTAAAATAAAAATAAAAATAAAGTATCTGTAAAGACGAGTAATTGTCTAGAATGATCCTTGCTGTCATTTCTTAGTTGTAGTTTCTTTATCATGAAGTGCACACCTTTAAGGGATTTGCTAAAATTATACTCAGGGAAACGGGGAAAACATTTTATATTCCATGCAGATATCTAGCCTGCAAGCCTTACTGGCAGCTTGCTAGAGCCAAATAATTTCTGGGAAAATCACAAATGGCAATTCTACACATCATGTGTGTTATTTGCATCCCTTGCCGATGTGGGTCATCAGGGCAACAAGCAAATACACGTTTAGATGGCTCAACATAGTAAAGTTTGAACACTAAATATCATAGCTGCCATGGCGTATCATCATGTATTGTAAATCAAATGAAAGACTGCATGATTTCCCTCTGTTTCTGTAAAGGTATCATCAAAAATCACAGCGTTTGGCTCTCTACATCAGTCCTACAGTTTACGCGCATTCTCTCGCTTCTACAACGTGACTTTGTACCTTAGTGTATTAAAATGGCACACGATAAATAAGCGTGCTATTTTTTTCGCAGAATATCGGCAAGGGCTCACTGTGGATGGTGGATCCTGACTACCGGCCAAATCTTCTACAGGCCCTCAGGAAGACACCTTACCATCCGTACAGCCAACTCCACATACTGCAGAACAGCTGCAATAGTCAAGGCTCTTCCATCGGGTAAGATTTAGGTAGCGCCAGGTAGGCTATGAATATTCATAGATATTCAACCGGGTGAGTTATGAATATTCATGGATATAATGTCAGGTAAGCTATGAATATTCATGGATATTCTATCAGGTTTGCTATGAATATTCACAGACATTCTTTTAGGTAAGCTGTGTATACTACTCCTTGGTATTCCATCCGTAAAACCGTAATACTTGAATATTCTATTGTTTTTGGCTATTAATATGTAAGAATATGCAATTCTGATTGTAAAAAGACTAGAGCACATCCATCTTATCAAACATTGAGTTTTACCGAATGAGTCATGTCTATGGTTACGGTGCAAATGGCCGGCTTATACACAGTGAGTGACGTTGTCCGATGCTTTTACGTATTTCAGTCCTATGAAGCCACTACCACTGGCACCAAGACCGAACGTAAATGTTCCCTCGCCCGGTGAGTACTGACATCCATAGCGGAGTTAGACTTTTTCACACGTATATGTTAGCAATTTCACGAGCGTCACTTGATGACATCTCGGTTGCCGATTCGTTTGCGAGGACGTACTGTCTGCCTGCGTCCACACCTTTCAACGCTGGACTTGGAGGAGCGCTGGTTGGAGCGCGTGGGTGAGCAGCAGGAGTGTCATATTAAATAGATGTCGATATTATGACACTCCTGTGAGCAGACATACGAACAGTATTAACGCGGTCACGAGTCCTATATATGACTCGCACGCAGTTTGTTACGTCGATGCGGAGATGTCGTCTCCCAATGGCGGCTTAGTCTCGACCCCCCCCCTCCACCTCCCCGCCATTTTTCGGTAGTAGTAGTATCGTATGGCGTCAACATCACACCTCCACAGCCCCACTGGCAATCCAGTTGCAAAAGAGTTCGCCACATTCATTTATGGTGACATATACTCTCCCGGTATCCTCGTCACTGGACAGTTTAGCACCAGATGATCAGGTCTTCGGTGGGGTGGGGGGGGTCGTCCCCGCTGCAGCGGGACTGGCATATGCGTCAACTGTGTGACCGGAAGGTCGCTCAGTCGTCGGCAGCAGTCGCGCGTGTCCCGCAGGGAGGCGGTCGCGTCTCTCGCGCGCGTGCCTCGAGGGAGGCTGCATCGGTGGATGTGGAAAATCGGGAAGTTGGCGCGGAAAGCCGCGTCGTCGGCTCGTGGGACAGTCGACACGCGTTGCCGACACGCGCGTGGCACCGCAGCGCCGCTAATCAGTCGCCGCGAGGAGACGCACAGCATCGCACTGCCATGGTAACGAAATCCCCGCGGGCGCGTCGCTGCTAATTGCCCGCGTGTATACTCTCTGCAAGTAATTACCACGAGAACGGGCCGACGTGAAGACGCCACGATCGTCGGCAGCAGCGACCGAAGGAGGTGCGGGGTGGCGTCTGACAAGACAAAGGTGGCGAGCGATCGTTACTGCGAGCACGCTGAAGCAACAGCTGCAGGGGAAGGAGAAGAGTGAAAGCTGAACACGAGGTTCGCATGGGGCCACCGAATAGACGGAGGCGGGGCAAGCGGGCTGTCTGCTGTAACTACATGCGCGTATTGAAAGTGAACTGACTGGAATCGTAAACAGTGGATAAACCGAGAGATTTCAAATCACGCGTCGCTTGAACGCGAAAATCCCACATTAACAACTGCCAGGCGATCGGTCAGAAAAAGTAATTCGGTAAGTGACAGTAGGTAAATTTGGCGTTCATGGATGCAGCAGGAGGAGGAGGAGGAGGAGAAGGAGAAGGAGGAAGAGGAGGAGGATGAAGAGGAGGAGGGGCAGTAGCAGGTGTGAGCTTGACGGATTGCATGCTGTCAACGGCCGCATGTGTATCGGCACGTAATCCGCTGATACATGCAAATTTCTCTGGGATTCGTTTTCGGTAAAATATCGCATTCGTGTGTGACGATAGAGAACCTGCATGGGTAATTGCTGATGTATATTGCGCCTGTATATCTATGCAGACATTAGCGGGCGGGCGTGCATGCGTGTGTGTGTGTGCGTGCGTGCGCGTGTGTTTATGTGTGTGTATGCGTGTATGTGCAGGTGTGACAACATGTGGGTCAATATGCGCATTTGAGTGCGTGCACTCATAGGTACCTGCGCGACCGGGTTTGCATGTGTGTCTTTCTCCGAGACATGCCTGTCATGTTCCCCTGGCAGCTTTGCATTTTCCAGTACTACTGCATATTGCCGTGTTCCACACACGGTGACACAGTGACAGTCGCCCACGTACTCGCTCTGCTAATGGAGGCGTATTGTGAAGAAGCTCTGCGAAGAGCTACGTTATCACGCATATTGTATTGTGTGCGCGTGCGAAGACGTCTTCCCGGAAAGTGGCTCCTGCTGTTAATAAAAGATCTAGAAGGGTTGATCGAGGCACCATAGGAACTTGATTACCATCGTTTGTTTGTGTCTTCAGACGTCCATCTAGCAGCGAGACAAAAGTCGCTTGTCTAGGTGTGAATTCGCTCGAATGGTCGATATATATGTATATAT